TCCCATATGTAACTATAAAACATAAAAAAAGTGTTGCCTCAGCACAAGACAAACATTGATTTGAAAATGCGCATACTAAAAAGGTTAATTTTATGCAATACCCATGTATTTTAACCCATGCAATATCTCAGATTTGTGATGGAGATCTGTGATACACTAGAAAAATATTGCGATTCATGTTTTTCAAGACCCATATTTGTTAAAAAAAAAGTAAAACAAAATTTAACAAGCAAATAATCCAAAAGCACTCAATATGTAAGGTAGAACTTTTGTTTATCTTTACCAAAGCTGGAGCAGCAAATAACAAACAAGTTCTTCAAAGTAGACACCACGATCTACTAATCCACTCTCAAGTACAAGGGAAACAAAAAGAATCAATGGAATCTCCCTGCGAAGAAGGGTGATCTCACATATGTGATCTCCATTCCTCAGTCTTTTGCTTTTTCTGTCACTTTCTCTCTCATTCTCGATTTCTCTTAGTCTGTTTGACTTATATTTTTTTTAATTTTTTAGTCATATGTTTGACTAATATTGTCAAGGGTAAAGTAGCAGACGAATATAATATGGGTATTATGGTAATTTTATTATTCCGTTAACAGTGTCAATTATTTTATTTTGGTACATAACTACGTGGAGATAATGTTTATAATTTTAGACTTCAAGTAGGTAAGGTGCTTCTATCCAAAACTACAGGGAGGTAAAAATGAATTATCCCCCTTTTTTTCTTTCTCTTGATGGCATACTTTATAATTTATCATGCACTAAATTACCAATAAAATAGAGTTTATTATGGTTCAAAACTATGCCGTTGTTGAAGGAAGGGCTTCATAGCTCTTTTGAATTGGTTATTAGTTATAATAATTAAAATATCATGACGACATGTTTGGATATGGTGGGGGCCATTTCTAGCTCAAATTACGAAAGTGAGAAAATTATGTTAAATGATTTGTTAAAATATATAAAAACTATGCAAGTTAATTTTGATGGTCGACTCTTGAATATTAATAAGACAATAATTTGAACCTTGAAAATTTGGTTCTCAAATCTTCAAATAATAATAAGAAAGTCAAGAGTTCGAGTTTTATCAAATATTATATATGTGCACATCATGAAATTAAGATATAGTCTCAATTAGATCAATTATTCTAATTTAATCATCACTTAATGTCTAACTTTTGTTCCCTTTTCTCTTTCCTTTAATTTTGCAAAAATATATAGAAAATCATGGGATGCTAAAATAATTTATAAATTTTTTTATATAAAGTAAAGTTGAAAAGGCAATCTGGTCAACTAGAGAGTTTTACTAATATGGATGACTTGATCAAATCTAATTTGGTTAAATAAAATATTGTCAATGTTTTTGGGGAAAAATGTGTGGTTGTTGGGATGCAAATGGATTTGGGCAATTTTTTTGAGAAATTTTATTAAATAAAATAGAAACTTTTCACTTTATACCTTAAAAAATTTTAAGATTCTCACTTTGTACCCTAAAATATTAAAATTTTTACATTATATCATCAATGTATAAAAAGTGTTGCAATATAACCCTTATGTTAACTTTTCATTAGTCGTTTCATCAATGTTAATGGGTTATTTTTTGATGGGAAAAATAACGAATTAAGGGTGCAATGTCAAATAGTTAATCTTTGATGATGCAAAATGAGAATCTTGAAATCTTTCAAAGTGTAAAGTGCGAAAAATCCAAATAAAATATATAGAATAATTGTCTAGTGTCAAGTATAAGGTAATGAACTTTCGCTTTCTCTATAGGAATATAAGAATATAGATGCCAAATTTAGATACGCTACTCTTAATTGACAAAATTTAGCAAATTTTTGGAGACTGCATAATAAAAAATTGTAATTCAATGAGCTCAACTTATAGTTTAATTAAAATTATTAAATAAATGATATCAAAAATCATGATCAATCTCATGATTTTTAACTCAACATTTTTATCAGTGTGTCAGACAATGGATTCAATCCCTAAATATCAGAAATAGGAGAGACGTACCGGACTTTTAAAGCACTTTAATATCCTTAAAACTATAAAGGACAAATGTAGCATTTCAATTGTTTCACTTTCTTTTTTCGGAAGGTAAACTATATTCATTAAAAGAAATTTACAAGTCAAGACAAAGGGTGATGCTTACATGACAGTATACACCCACCCATTACAAAAGAAAGTAACCCAAAAAAGAGACAACTTTACCAAGAGTCTGGAATTCTAAAGAAAGTGTTGGCCTTGAGCTAGTACTTTCAGTAGAATCCTGACTCAATAGGAACAAAGAAGACAAAAGTCCTCCATGGACAAGGGTTTGCACATTCAGAAAAGTTTCATGGGTTAAGACAATGGGTTGGTAATTGCCACTGTTGAGCCACTTGTTGATTATGATAGGAGTTCCTAAACTTCAAGGACATCATCCTATCCTTGATGATTTGTAAAATGCTGTGCAGAGTTGATTGAAGATCTTTAAATTCATTCCTTAACAGCATGTTCATTCTTTCTCTCTAGAGGCAGTATACTATGGCTTGGAGGCTTAATTTCTACAACGCTATCAATATAGATTTGCCTTTCCAATGTTGAGCAGTCCAAGTAATAAACAATAGCCATGTCCTGGGTTGCCAAGTTTGGGTGGGCATGTTCTGTAGCTGAAGCCAAACGCTTTGAGAATAGGTGTACTCAAAGAAAAGGTAGGCATGTGTTTCAGCAGCCCCTCTGCACAGAATGCAATTCGCACCCACACTAGGATTAAAAATCTTATTCTTAGTACTGTTTCTATCATTAACAACCAAACATAATACGAAACTCATTTTGGGAACTGCTTGTGTGAACCAAATTAGCTTAAACCATAGCACTTTTAGGTTTGGGTTCCTAATGACTTCCCATGCAGATGCAGTAGAGAACTTGCCATTGATAGAAAGAGCTCACTTGACACCATTCACTTTGGCCTGGTTTGGGCATAGGAAGGCATAGTGCTTAATATATCACATAAATCAGCTGTTGGAGTTTGCGGCTACTGCAACTGGTTGTTACATATAATTCTGCTCACTTTAGCTTCCTTTGGTAATCCAGAATCAACAATAATTCTATGGTTCCAATTCAAAATAAGAAGCCTTTTTGGGTGCCAATTGTCATAACATATACTTGTTGTCTATCCATTCCCTATAGGTCTAATCTGGTCCCTCAATTTTAACATATTCAGCTAATTCCATGAACTACAAAGGCTCCTCCCCTTCCAATGGTAAAAGTGAATCCATTTGGCTCATAGGTTCTCTTTGTCCTAAAAAAGAATCCATAAATGCCTCAACATGGGAGCTGCATTCTAACTTTCAAGCATTTAATACCTAGACCTCCTTTCTTTGGCCTACACACAGCCTTCCAAGTAATTTTGGCCCTAGTAGTTTTAAGTTCAACCCCTTTCCATAAAAAAGCTCACATGATTTGTTCAATTTTATCCAAAACTTGTTGTGGTAAGATGAGGTGAGTTGCCTAATAAATATGCATGCTCGAAAGGACAGAGATGATGAGTTGCAACCTATCTTCATAAGACAAGAATCAATTAGTCCACCCCTTCACTCTACTTTCAATTTTCTCAATGTGGGTTGTGCAATGTGTGTCTTTCAATCTAGTAGAGATGAGAGGCACTCCCAGGTATTTGATAGGAAGGCTGCCCACAAGGAAACCAAAAATCAACTTGAACTGCTCCATATCTTGTGGTTGGATTGCCACCATGAAAAAATTACTTTTGGAAGGATTGGCTTGTAGTCCAGACACCCACTGAAACTGGTCAATAACCATTTTCAATGTAGAGACAGAGCTAACATCCCCATGAAAAAACCTCAACAAATTATCTACAAAAGTTAATTGACAAAGTTTCACCTTCTTACACCTGTAGTGGTATTTAAACTTGTTATTAGGCATGATATTATGTTGATCAATCAATGTGAGCACTTCCATGGCCATAACAAAGGGGTAAGGGGAAATGGATCCCCTAGCCTCAACCCTCTCACATTTGGAAAAAAGACTTTTAGTTCTCCATTAATGTTAACAAAAAACTTAGGAGAAGTAAGGCATGCCCATATCCACTTCCTCATCATTATTGGAAAATTAAAGACACCTAAGGTGTCCATCATAAAGTCTCAATCTAATGTATCATAGGCCTTCATACGGTCCACCTTGATAGCACATCTGGGTGACCTCCATCCTTATGGTAATCCCTCATAATCTCTTGGGACAAAAGAATGTTATCACTGATCCTTCTTCCAGGGAGGAATGATGATTTGTAGAAGCTAATAATATCCTTAAGTGCACCTTTAATTCTATTAGGAATAAGTTTTGAAATACCTTTGTAGAACACACTGCAGCAAGAAATAGGCCTAAACTCGCCCATAAATGATGCATTTGGAGTTTTAGGAACCAATGTGATGATGGTGGAATTGAACTCCTTCAACAGGATCTCATTAGAAAAGAATTCTTTTATGGTAGCTGTGATGTCCCCTCTAATAACTGGCCAAGCTTTCTTGTAGAAATAAGCATTGAATCCATTTGGTCCAGGCATCTTTTGGTCATTAAAAGATAAGAAGACTTCCTTTTTCTCCTTCGTAGTAACATCCCTTACCATATTAGAAGCTTGTTGTTCTGATAACTTCTATTGCACAATACTCTCCAGTAATATACTCCTATCTTGTGAGTTTAATGTAGGACTCTTGGTTCCCGCAGTTGTTGGTAAAAAGAAATAGCCTCCTGCTTCGCAGCCCTTTCTCCCTCAATAAACTCATCATTTTCTATTTGCAAGGATAAAATATTCTTTATATTCCTTCACTTTGTTATGGTTTTTAAGAAGTAACTTGTGTTTTGTCACCTTCTTTTAACCACAAAACCCTGTACTTTTGTTTAAGGAAAGATTCCTCATTTCTAGCAGCTGTTGAGTAGGTAGCAAGAAGTTGCATCTTCTCAAGTCTCAAAATATTGTTAAGTGGATCAGTAGTTAACCCTCTTTAGCAGTTTTCTAGGGCCTCTTTTGTTTCCCTTGCCCTATCTGAAATATCACCAAGCTCTCTGCTATTTGTCTTGAATAATTCCTTGAGTTTCTTCAATTTGCAGCACATTTGGTAGTGTTGAGTTCCCAGGATAGGTTCCCTCCAAATCTGTTCAACCATAGGTAGAAAGTCCAGCCTCTCAGCCATGAAGTTAAAGAACTTGAAAAGACTACTTCTTTTCCTTTTTTCTTGACCAATCTTAAGTAAAGCATGACTATGATATGACATTTCAGGTGGTAAAAAAATAGCTTCTAACTGTTGAAATCTGATATTCCATTCCTTATTCACCAGTACCCTATCCAGTTTCCTGACAATACACCATGCTTCAATTTTGGGATCACTCCATGTAAAAGGGAAACCAGAGAACTTAAGATCTACTAATTCAGCTTGTTGTAGGCAATCATTAAAGTCTTCATTGGATTGGCACCATCTGCCAAAACAACACATTGATTCTTAAGTGTGTCTAATGGCATTAAAGTCCCCTAGAATTGTCTAGGGTAAAAAGGCAAACATTCCAACATGATAAACCAAATTCCCTCAAAGATGTCTTCTATCTTATTCCTCATTAGAGCCATTCACAAAGGAAGCGTAAAAGGAGTCATTTGTCTCCAAGTGATGTACAAAACAATGAATAACTTGCTCAGTTACACAACTTTTATTCACTTTCAAAGTATGAGTGTTCCACCCAACCCAAATCATTCCTCTATTATGGCAATTGTAATTGTCCACATGCTCCCATTGTCCAAACACATTTCTCATAGTCACATCCTTATTAATACTTCTAATCTTGGTCTACACTAGACTTAATAAGAAATGTTGATCCCTAATCAATTTCCTAACCTTTCCCTGCTTCTAGGGTTTATTTAACCCTCTCACATTTCAACAAGAAACTTTTAACATAATGGTCGAGATTTTTTGGTTTCGAGGTGTTCCAACATCTTTCCATTTCCCTGTTTACTGCCTTTCTTCTTTACCTTCATCTTTTTGTGTTCCTCCTCTGGCATATTCTTAACCTCTAGTTTATGCCCAGTGGATTCAACCTCCATCACTTGTCTCTTATTAATAGCGCATTACATCTATTAGTACTAGGGACTGGGGATAAATCCACAACAATTTCACCTCCTTTCATATTTAATTTTCAAATTTGTTAGGGGACTGAATTGCCTTAGTAGATTGCTCTGTATGATTTTTATCACTCACAATAATAGCAGTGATAATGTTAGTAGTTACCTGGGTTTCATCTTGTGATCCATTTGAACACTGGTTGGTAACTGACTTGACGGCACTACTGCTATTGGTAGTTGTATTTCCCACTTGAGGTAGTATTTTCCCAGATTGTGAAACCTCTACTGATCCTCCCACATACCTCATTGGATTTATAATGGCAAAACGAGGGGGTAATGTACATAATTTTAAACTTCAAGTAGGTAAGGTGCTTGTACCCAAAACTGCAGGGAGGTGAAAATGAATTATCCTTTTTTTTTTTTTTGTTGACATACTTTATACTTTCTCATGCACTAAATTACTACTAATATATAGTTTATTATATTTTAAAACATATGTTGTAGTTGAAGGAAGGGCTTCATAACTCACACGATCCCACCTAGTTTTGGGATTACCTTATTAATATGAAAAGTAGAAAAGGCCGGGCCTCGAAGAAAACTTTTCGTCAACAAGGACTTGTGTATTAGATTTTGAATTGGTTATTAGTTATAATAATTAAAATATCGTGACGACATGGTTGGATATGGTGGGGGTCTTTTCTGCCTCAAATTACAAAAGTGAGAAAATGATATTAAATGATTTGTCAAAATATATAAAAACCATGCAAGTTAGTTTTGACGGTTAAAAAAGACTCTTGAATATTAATATGTCAACAATTCGAACCTTGCAATTTTGGTTCTCAAATCTTCGAATAATAATAAGAAGTCAAGAGTTCGAGTTTTATCAAATATCATATATGTCCACGTCATGAAATTAAGATATAGTCCCAATTAGATCAAATATTCCAATTTAATCGTCACTTAATGTCTAACTTTTGTTCGCTTTTCCTTTCCCTTACTTTTTGCAAAATATATAGAAAATCATTGGATGCTAATATAATTTATGAAAATTTTTATATAAAGTAAAGTTGAAAAGGCAATCTGGTCAAGTTAGAGAGTTTTAATAATATGGATGACTTGAATCAAATCTAATCAGGTTAAATAAAATATTGTCAATGTCTTTGGGGAAAAATGTGTGGTTGTTGGGATGCAAATGGATTTTTGCAATTTTTTTAGAAATTTTATAAAATAAAATAGAAAATTTTCATTTTATATCTTAAAAGATTTTAAGATTCTCACTTTGTATCCTCAAATATTATTTTTTTCACGTTATATCTTCACTGTATTAGAAATGTTGCAATGTAACTCTTCTGTTAACTTTCCGTTAGTTGTTTTGTCAATGTCAATGCGTTGTTTTTTGAAAGAAAAAATAAAAAATTAAAGGTGTAATGTGAGAAAGTTATTCTTTGAGGATGCAAAGTGAGAATTTTGAAATCTTTTAATGTGTAAAATGCAAAAAATCCAAATAAAATATATAGAACAATTGTCTAGTGTCAAGGATAAGATAATGAACTTTAGTTTTCTTAGTAGGAATATAAGAATATAGAGGCCAAATTTAGATACGCTACTCCGAACTGACAAAATTTAGCAACTTTTTTGGGATTGCATAATAAAAAATTGTAATTCAATGAGCTCAACTTATAGTTTAATTAAAATTATTAAACTAAATGATATTGAAAATCGGCCTCAATCTCATGACTTTTAACTCGACATTTTTATCTGTATGTCAGACAACGGATTCAATCTCTAAGTATCAGAAATAGAGAAAGGTACCTAACTTTTAAAGCACTTTAATATCCTTAAAACTATAAAGGACAAATATAGCAATTCAATTGTTTCACTTTCACTCTTTTGCCTTTGTCAAAAAAACCTTGAGGATAAACACAACCACCATTTCATAGAGTCCATAACGTCTCCCTTTAAACACCTATTTTAGTCCCATAAGAATACCTCTCTTTGATTAATCCCTTGTCATAGTGCTGATGTTGCTTTCACCGAAAAAGGTAAAGAAAAAGTACATCTACTCTCAATCACCAAATTTGTTGACGTTGAAAAGGACATAAAATTTAGAAAATGTACACAATTCGATTCAAGGGTCGAAGAAAGGGCAAGGACTTATAAATTCTTATATTCTAAACTTCAATCTGACTGATCGTATAAAATTTATCTTTAATCGGTGCACATAAGTCATAATAATTTTGAGCATTTGAAATTCGTGTTCTGTCGTGAACTCAAAAAATGCATGATCAAAATGATTCCTGTTCTCAAAGAAAAAAGGGAGAAAATTGAGTGTTGCTAATTGTGTTGCTTGATGTAAATTGGAGTGCAAAATAGGAAGGATTATAATCCACTTTATTTTAGGAGGTCGACTATGAAATTTTCATTTGCATATATTGTATCTTTATAAAGCAATTATTTTCAAAGTGCTTTGGGACCGCGAGTATAATCATTTGTTTTTGAGATGTTTATACCTAAAAATTGTTGGATGAAATCATTGATAGCAACCTCCAATTAAAGGTAGACAAATTGTCAACAAACCCACCTAACAAGATGGAGATCTTGAGTTCGAGTCTACTGTTGTGGCTAATTGATTCGGGCACAAACAATCGGTTCCCATCCAAGCCATACATAGTGTTAATAAGAGTATTATTTGATTTTATCTTTTGTGTAATAAGCTTAGATCAAGGTTGGGATAATGTATAAGTTTACAGTCATAATACCAAATTCATGTTTGGATTAGGTAGTAATGTATGGTATAAAAATACAAGTGATAAATTTACCTATGTATGGGGGTGTGGATCTAGGGTATGCAAGGGTAATAAAGTCATTATATGTTTAGACTGAACATACTAGAAACAATGCTATCTACTAGATGCTATTCATTAGTACTTAATATGAGATGTTAAATGATATTAGTGAACTGGGTCGGGATTTGTTTAAAAAAAGAAAAGAAATGAAAAGAAAGAACTAGGTCAAAATTAAATAAGAAATAAATACCGGGCCATATAACTCAATCCAAACAGAGTAGTTTATGACAGTTGGTGATAATCCAAAATTCTTGATTTAGTGGAAAGGATTGGAACCAAGCATATAGAATGAGATTAAGATGTTTACTTGATGATAATCATGTTTATAGAATGATTAAGGTAGGATCAAGTTAACATCATACATTATTAATTAAAAAGCTCAAAACAAGTGCATCAAAAAAACTAGTGCCTAATGAATAGTTGTACAACTTTTAATAATCTCCTGCCAACAGGCTATTGTTTCAAGTAAGACTTTCAATAGATCATAATCAAACTTTTTTTCCATTTAATTCGTATTCCTTTTGAGAGTGCCAGATCGAAAATGTGACTACTTTGGTGAAAATTTTAGAACAATGTACCATTTTACCTCTTTTTTCTTAACAATGCAAAATGAATGATTTTCAGAAAGATGTTGGTAGTCTTTGGATAAGTCTATTTGAGACCGTCGAATAAACTTATTAAATTTATTATGTTTTATATTGTAGATTTAAACTCGAAATCTTCAGATTTGTAAAAGCCTGGTCAACTTGTCTATCCATAGGGAACCCATCCAACAAAAAAATCTCTGTGATGGTTGATTATAATCCATGGAAATAATTGAAAATGTACCTTGAAACCTTAGGGATCTCATTTGAATTAAACACGAATTATCTATTATCAAAGAAATTGAGAGAAACAATATTAAATGAGATATGAATTCACGTTATCCTAGAAGATGTACCTTGGAACCTACTTGACTTATGATGGTTCCCGAATTAAAATGCAAAGATCGATCCAAGTCATTGTTTAGACTTTAATTGGTACCAAAAATTCTTACCTACTTTTTGAGGGTCATTTTATAATTTTTGTTACTTCCCATTAATCTTAAAAATATTTGGATACATTGCAAATTATCATAAAAGTTGGAACTTGACTTAAAAAACTTATAAAAAAATCTTAAAAATTTATAACTTGACCACCAAAAGTGTATTTTTTTTATTATAAACAAACCACAAAACATGTACGACAACACATAAAATGGTAAAATTTGGAGGTGGTGCCAATGCTTAGTCTTGTCCTTTTGACATAATGATAGGTCAAATAATTAAATTTTAATAAAAAATTCAATAACTACGATCACAATAATATTATTAAATTATATTATTCTAATATCGTAAAGTCAGGTTATAAATTAATTAGTTTTTGCCTGTGCGTGATGACACAGAGTAATAAAAAATGGTAAAAAATAAATATATTTGTATTCATATCTAAAATCAAATCACAAACATAGAAAATAAATAAATTAATTTAAACATCAATTTGTAGTGGGGGTGAGAGGTGGTGAGCGACAGTGGTGGTGGTGGTAATAGACAGTGGTCATAGTGGCGACAGTGGCGTTGATGGTGGCGACGAGGGCAACAGTGGTGGTGGTGGTGGCATTGGAGGCGGTGGTGGTGGGGGTGGAGGTGGCGGCAGTGATAGACGTGGGGGTGGTGGTCGTGGCAGTGGCAATGACAATGAGGGTGGATCACAATCTTAACGAACTTGACTTATTTCTTTAAGTTAACGTCAACCATCTTGGGATCCTCTTCCAAAACAATATAAATATTTTGGATCTCAATCTTGAATCTATTACCAAAATACCGGAGTTTAAAAACTTAAATATCAATCTACAGTCGTTTTGAACTTATTTATTAAATTATCGTTGTTTTAAAAGCGAAAGTGCAAAATCCGATTTCATTTAAAAGCGGATTTAGTAAGGACAACTTTATCTGAAAAAACGGATGTAACAATTTCGACCTTAACACCAAAAGCGTATTTGAAAATTACGCTTTTAAGTAAAAAATTGAGCTGCTCCTGAGGCTGTCAGCGGTTTAGTGTACTGACGTTATAAAAAAAGTAATAAATTATACTCATGTAGTTTATAGTTCTTGTTTATTACAATAATAGACTTATATTTTATGATATTATATTGACCATTTTATTTGTTTCATTTTGATATTAGATATTTTTTTTCAATTTTTCACACAAACTTTGTTCCAGCATTCTTTTTAACACTGTTATTCTTTATTTGAACAACAGTATCCTTAAATTTTATTTTTTAAACGTATTAAAACTTGAGCTGATTTGAACTCTATCTGAGTTGTTAGCACAGATTAAAATTCGCTTTCGAGTCGATTAAAATTTATATTTTTTTACTTATTCAAATCCATGTTAATTAAAATTTGATTTATTAAAATTTGAATCAATTAAAATTTATATTTTTTTATGTATTAAAGTTTGGACTTATTAAAATTCAATACGAGTTGATTTTTTTTTTGTGGGGGGAGAGTGGGAGAGGAAAAATGGCTTGAACCCTTGACCTCAATAAGACAACTTTTATAATGTAAAGAGTATCATTAAAATTTGATTTAAGTTGATTAAAAATAATTTTTAATTAGCTCAAATAAAATTAAAAATTAAAAATAAACTTAGATTTAAGGATATTGTTGTTCAAATAAAGAATAACAGTGTTAAAAAGAATCTGGAACAAAGTTTGAGTGAAAAATTGAAATGAGTGTAATTTATCACTTTTTTATAAGGTCAGTATACTGAGCTGCTGGCATCCTCGAGAGTAGAGCAATTAATCACTTAAAAGCATAATTGTCAAATACGCTTTTAGTGTTAAAGTCGGAATTGTTACATCCGCTTTTTCAGATAAAATCGTACTTACTAAATTCGCTTTTAAATAAAATCGAATTTCATATTTCCGCTTTTAAAATAACAGTAGTTTGATAAATAAGATCAAAACGACTGTAGATTAATATTTAAGTTTTAAAACTCCGGTATTTTGGTAATAGATTCTCTCAATCTTAACCACTGCTAAATCAAATATTTCAGCTCTGCTGTTCATGCTGTGGTTTGTCCAAGTCCAAATGCACATCCGAAACAGAAGCAGTGTGGCAGCAATAGCAAATGTCCACCCAGCAACAGAAACCGAATAGTACAAAACAACAAAAATCTAAATACAAAAACAAAAAGAATCAATACAAATTTGAAGAAAATAAACCCATAAAAATTTTCATTTTATAGTTTTAAATGTCATTCCTTTGCAATGAATGAGTATTGCCTTGCCAAAAAAAATAATAATAATAAAAGAAGAAGAGAAAAAGTTTTCCTTCTCTTTCTTTATTTTAAGTATTTTCCTTCATGTATGTTGGATCAAGCTTCAAGGAAACCAGTCATCTTAAGAATTGAATTCCGGACTTCACTCAAGTCCCGGCCTTTCAGAGTCCTCCCATTTCCGGTGCACACCGAGAACTCCATTTTTCCGGCAATTCGCCGCCCCAAGATCACGTGGGGTGGCACTATCTTTCCATCATCACCATAATGTTCATCCTCAAAAAAACCTGAATCCACTTGTTGAAACCGTGAATTCCCGGAAACATTTTCCGGGATAGTCACCGGAACTGAATTATTCTTCTTCTTCTTCGTTCTCAATTTGGTGTTCTGCGATTCCTGGGAATTTGACTGATCTGGGAACTCTTCATTTACAGCATTTTCCTGGAAAATAGCTTCAGATTCTTCGAATTCTTCAGCCATAAAAAATGGGTTTACTACGAAAGATTCAAACCTATAAGAACTTCTGAGGGATAGAGAACGAGAGTTGAAGATGGAGAGAGAGAGAGAGAGGAAATGGAGAATGAGGAATTGGTAAAAGGGAAAATGGGGAAGGAAATTTATAGGGAAATGGATGAGGGAGGAGAATTGGAAATGGTAGTGAGTACATTTTGATTAATTGTGGCGTTATATGGCGTCACTGTGTTGGGGTTGAGTGCAGTCCCAGCTTTATCCCTCTAAATTACTACTTTCTAGCTCTGGATAAGTTTTCTCTCTCTAGAAGTACCTCACAAGTCCATTTTTTGTGCCCACGGCCTTTTTGTTTGGATTGAATAAATAATTGACTTGTATTTGTCTCATCCTTAATTGTTTATTAATTTTTTTGAGTGGTTTGTGTTTCTTAATCTATTACTTTAAGTGAGTGGAGTGTATTATAGAAAGAGAGATCTACAATGCCCATTCACACAAGCACACACAACTATACATTGCACATACACACTTAAAGAAAAATTGCACATTCACACATAATTATAAGTCTATATATACAATTATTGTACTTCAGCATGGAGGAGAGAGAAAGCACACTACGACTTTCTTCCATGTGATTTACATTTGTCTAATGTGATAAGGAAAGTAGAAAAATAACTACACCTTGCACATTCACACTTACATGTACATATACACACTCACATGTACTTCAGCATGGAGGAGAGAGAAAGCACACTACTACTCCCATCCAGGTGATTTACATTTGCATAGTAATGATAAGGGAAGTAGAAAATTCACATTTAGTGGATCACGTATATATCATGATACTACAGTGTCATGGTGGATTCTAGGACATGTAATGAAATCTATAATAATCTCATTTCTTAGATAATGGGACTTGATCTGAGTTCAATTTTTTTGGGGGGTTGGGGCTCCATGATATTGAACTTTTATGTCATTAAGTCCAAAGTAAAAAATTTTGGGGAACATATATAGTTAATTAGACAAAAATACCCTTCAAAAATGTGGTTACAGTCCAGTTGCGTCTTTTCAGTTCATTTAAATTGAATGTTCATTGTATCATTGTTACACAAGAACCAACGTTGTACTTTCAAAAATCTCCTACACTGAAAAATGACAATTCGCAAAGAAAATACTCTCGACAATCTTTGATTCCAAAGTTCTAGTGATTCTTCGTTGCCCAAACATATCTGCGCAACAACAATCTCTCAAAGAAAATCTTCGTCAGCATATCGTTTCAAAATTGCAAGAGACTAGGGTTTCAAATCCTCTACAATTTTTTTTTCACGATTTAGATAAGTAAATTTTGCATTATAGAAATTAAGTATTAGCGAAAAGGAAAATTTTCATATATTCTTGTTAATTTTATATATTTTAAGCTATTTCAGTATGCAAAATATGAATCAAATTGATTCTTTTGTAAATATAACCAAAAAATCGCATAATAAAATGATGAGTAATATATTATTATGTTTGTTAAATAAAAACCTAGAATTGAAATTCGTTTAAAAAACAAGCAAAAACTGAGCAAAATATGAAATAGTAAAAAATGATCATGTCCATGTTTAATGTTGATTATAGATTTACTTTTTTGCTAGTTCAATTTATTGTTAATCTGGATATTTTGATTAATAAATATTTCAAAAGTCTGTATTATTATTGAATGCATTAAAACAGTAAAATATATTATGTGCAATATTTGACTATTTAATGATGTACATAACAATTTGTTGTAGTTGACTGTATTAGTAATCAAAAGCCTGTGTTTTTGTTAAATGTATTAAAACAATATTAGAATCCTTGAGAGTATCTCCCAAGAAAATATTTGAACTTTTATAGAGTGAGTTCCCGACCAACTTACCTATCCTAGAGTTGCCAAGCTGAATGATACCAATTGAATTACAGATTTTCCTTCATTTTTCAATGTATTTTGCATGTCATTAATAATTTGGTCTGGCCTAATGACTAGGTGAAAAGGTCAATTGGGCACTTTAGAATCTCATTAGGTCCCGGTTGATAATTAAACTGAGCTATTCAGACTCGATTTGTATAAAACTCAATTCGAGCTTGAGTATATTTTAAACGAGTTGAACTTGAACAATTTTTTAAGTATGTTTATATGTAAAATAGTTGAGCAACTAGGGTTCAGCTCGTTTTGGGCGGCTCGTGCTCGGCTTATTTTCTAAATGGGTTAAGTTTGAACATTTTTTTAGAATCGTTTAAAAAACCGATCTTGACAAGCTCGACTAGAGCACGCAAAACTCGATTATCAGTCCTACTCATTACAACACTAAATAATATTTTCTTGACATCATACTTCAATTTTTTAACCAATAAAAAATGCACCATGTGTATAATTTTTCATATAATAATTTTTTTTCTTATTTTATCATTTTCCAATCAAATCATTCAATTTGAACTTAATAACTTAGATCGACCGAGATACCGAACCAAAATGGGTACCAGAACCTTATCAATTTGTGATCATTTTCTTCCAACACATTCTTTTGTAGAAGAGTCTATTCTAATAACAAGTTTTTCTTTACATGTGAAGTGGAAACTTGAATTATATGGATGGAAGGAGAGTGGTTCAATCTCATCCATAGCAATTTGATTAAGGTGATTTTTTTTTTCATGTGGCATGATACTTAAATTTCAAAATACCATAATTGTGGTAAGAGTTCTACTGCATCAATACAATATCATTTCATAGATTAGTACAAGGTAGACCAATAGTCAAATTGTGTCGTTATAAGTTGAGCATTAAAAGTTCGATATGTGTCAATAGAGCACGGAGTCATTTGCATTACTCAATCCATCGTGCCATCGAAAGTTGATCTCATAACTACCTTGGACCGTCACACACCACAACCTTTGCCGCTACCAATTATTTTATTTTGGGGGTTGATAATCAATTTATTTTTTGAAGGATATTTTACATTTATGGATTTTTAAAACATGAGAGGGGCCATGGCCTCCATGAGCCTGAAGGTACATAGTTTCGTCTTTAATAACAAGTAATTTACCATTAAATAAAAGTGAGTGAAGAACAACATAACACAAGATTTTCTTATTACTCTATTGGACTTTTTCCAATTATTGACTCTTGTAACTATACAAAATCAAAGTTGTATAAGTGAATGGAATAGTGTAGGTTACCTAAACATATTCATCCTAATTTTCATCCTACAAATAACTTAGATTTTGACACCTTGGTTGAACAAGAATTCAAGCAAGAATATATGCGTGGATTCGCCGAATTTTGTAACCAAATGAAAGAAAATTAAAGTCCAAATCAATGTACAAATTGTGGATGAGCTTGAAGTCATTGTCATCACCTCAATAATATACAAAATATCTTAGCATACAAAGCTTCTACCATTCAAAAGCTTTTTTTGTCAAGTCATTTTCTTCAAAAATATACATGTACGTCAAGTACCCCGTTAGTCCATAAGCAATAGTACAAAGATTTTATTTGGAGATTTAATTAAGGATCTAATTCAATATAGTCGTTAAATTATCTATGAGTTGCAATGTTAGATAAAGCCGACCGCTGGATTGAAGTTGTCACAAATTAGATTCCTAAATTAGGTTCATATTGGATTTTCCTTAGTCCATAGTCCTTCAAGATGTAAGCATTCCATTGGTTCCAATCTCTCTCTCTCTCTCCCTTCCCTACATAATGGAGTGAGATCCGCTTCACTATATTTTCTCTTCAATTCTATTCTTAACGGATCATTTATCATGCATTCAAGTGAAACTCATTGTATACAAGTGAGTTCATCACTCATTAATGGTGTATGATTTGCTAATATTAGTGCAGAGCCCTTCTTTTATCTAGGCCAATCAATAAATCATTTTTTTTATTTGAATTCAATAGTCGAATATGAATTAATTTTTTGGAGTAATTATCCAAGGTTGAAATTGTTACATTATATCTTCAAAAAAAAAAAGAAACTTCTTCAAGGTAGACATTTTGTTTGCTAAAAACTAAATATGTGTTTTTGTTTGCTTGTTAAAAATTATTGAATACGACTTATTAAAAGGAGGAAAATTCTACTTTGACCAACTCGCTTATAGAAATTGAAAATGTAAAACACCACCAAAAACAATAATATATGGTTGTCCATTGATTTGAAAATAAGTGAAATTCAATCTTTTCATTTAGTACCAAGGGTAGAAATTACCATAATAAAGACACCCTAAAATTGTTACACCTATTTGACTAAGAATATCATGTCTTCATATACTTATCTTCATGAGTATCACATTTAGGACTGAGGAGCATACAAAGACACCCTAAAATTGTTAATACGAGAATTTGTTGAGTTGAGTTAAATTAAGTATTAAGAATTGAACATGAGTCGGGTAGCTCAGCTCCATAGATAAGGAGTCTGGCTAGACATCTTGGCCGGGCCGAGACTAGCCCATACACAATAAGAATATATATCTATATATATACTATTTATAAATGTCAATATCTATGAAAAAAATTTTAATTTCTTATTTTATCCCAAATTATTATAGTAAAGTTAATTATTCCCACCTATATACTTTTATCTAATTTATGTTTTTTTTACACGTATTTGACTTTCAACTTATTTTGAACTCTTTTATGAAGACTTCTAAATTATTTTGAACTCATTTATTAGTAGTATAGTTACTTATAATTATCTATATCTATATGAATAAGTAAAATCCTACATATGTTAAATTATTATACACACATAGTTAGCAGATTGAATTCCACGATTCAATATATATTATATTTTATTTTTTGATATGTAATAATATAATAATATTATAAAAGATCTAATCAATCTATTTAATAAAAAAATAATTGTATAATATAATTAGATGTGCAAATGTCTAAAAGTGTTGAAGAGATATCTAAATAAATGAAAATTTAGGTATTTAAAAATATATAGAATAAATTAATAGTTAAATTTATCAATAATTAAAGTATGGATTAATTATTAGACACTTAATTTATTATTTAATTTAATGACACATATAATTTATATTTTTTATAAAAAATAATATCATTTAAATTTATTTACGTACAACGCATGCTATGCATTACTAATATTTATAATTATCTGTATAAATGTCTACAGTTATTGTACTTTGTATTTTCTTGTTAGAACATAAAAATGTATGTTCACATAT